TGTGGCAGGGCAGAGAGACAAGCCAATGGCTGCGAGTTACATGTGTTCTGAGCAGCAAAGATTAGAGTTAAACAAACCGTAATAAGCACGTTTGACGTGTTTTATTTGCATTCTGCCGAGTTTGATTTATGTTCGCCGCTTCGGAGCTGTTTGTTGACGATAATGCGCCTCACGAGTTATTCATCAGAGCAGTGCAGTTTCTTGGGCAAATACAATGAGCTGCGGTTTCACCCAGGGAACCTCTGATATAGACCGTCTGAATAGATAAATTATTCATACACACGTGTGTGTGTTTTGTAATTTGCTTCGATTGCATTTTGAAATTGGTTGGCTTATTGTTAGTTAGAATTAGTTGAAATTAGTAAGTCATGTGTTTGAGTTTCAGAAATAAAATTAACTAAATATTGATTATTTTTCCATAATATATTCTACTTTGTTCATATTCACTGAAGTTAATGCACAAATAAAAAATAGTTTCCAGTAGGAAGAATAATTTGTAAGAAGTTTTAATTAAAAATTGTCCGAAAATGTAGTAAATAGAGTAATTTTAAATGAAAATTTATCCTTCTACTAAGAAAATAACTTTATAAAAAAAAAAATTTGAAATGCAATTTTTTTTTTCGAAATAAAAAATTGTTGTTTAACTTTTTTGCAGTATTAATTAATTTACAGCTCTACTCACTTCCTTTCCAAACTGATTTAATTATTTTCCAGTGTTCCCTGTAGCGTGGATATTTAACGACGGGAGATGCGTTATTTATTGAGCCGTGCAAATCGTCCTTCAGACCCAAAGCGATTTCCATTTTGCTGAATTTATTTCCGACGCGTATGAGCATTGAATAGCTCTGCGATTTTGCCACATTTAACAGATATACTAATTTTGCATTTCGATCAATGGACCAGTGAGAAACAGCAGCGAGCAAAAGATCAAAGAGGGCAGTGGTTAAACTCTTTTGGCACAAAGCACGCGAGCGTGGGTGGGTGAAATTGCTGCTGTAATTTCCTTGTTCATGGGTTCACGCCCACATCCAAATATTTGCAGAAAAGTTTTAATATTTTTAGAGATGAAGTTCAAATTGATTCTAAAACATCAATGAAGCCATGCGATGATTTAGAAATCCTACTGCAAAAGGATAGAAGGTTAATTTTTTTCTTAATGATACAATTTAAGGAGTCAAGTAAAGTCGTATTAATTTTATAACAATTCTAGGAAAATTAATGGAACGATAGTAATTTCAAATGATTTCCAGAGTTAAATTGTACAATAAAGGCTATGTAAATCAGCTGTTGTGCAATCAAACAACTCCTTTTAAATTGAACAATTAAATTAAGTAATAACTATATTTAATTTAATTTTCCTTTTTTAATTTGATGGTCTGATCTGCCTGAAAGCAAACTTTGAATCCAAAGGGGTACATTTTTTTTCCAAATTTAAATACTTCCATATTGTCTGCTTTACAATGAATGGGTCGTTTAGAACTTGAAACATTTCCGTTCATTCATTTTTTCCGCAATTTTTGTCAGGCCATTATTTGCTCACTTGTGGAGTAGATCATCATATGTCTGCCGACTGGAGAGCTACTTTTTCACATGCTGCCGCTAAAGAGCAAAAAATGACACTGCGCGAGAGGCAATTTTTCACTGTCCCAGCGCCCTCTTAGCCGCAGCGGCAGGGCGGAGTACATTTCCGAGAGAGGCAGAGAGAGGAAGACGAGAGAGGACAGGAGTAATTACACACGCGCGCTTCTCAGACAATGCTACTTTCGCGACGTTAGAAATTCTCTGTGTGGAATGATTCCGGCGGCCCAACCGCCTCTGCTGCTCTTTGTGGCCGCTTTTTGCACACCCGCCCAGCTCAACTACGAATAACGTGTACAGAGGCGAGTGCGTACTGAGCATGAAGGAAAGGCCAACTAGTTGGAAGTAAGTACGTAATAATTTATGCATATCCATGCATGTGAAATTTGTGGCGGGGTCCGTGTGTTGGACTCAGCGAGCCACACATTCCATGCATATACATCTTTAGTGGAAATGAGATTCTACAAAATAAAGTTGAAAACTAATTTTGTAGTGATGGATAATATTTCGTTTTGATGGGTTTTTGTGGAATAATGGAGACATAATAACGAGGCTCAAGTAGGTTTTTTAAGAGTTCAGGCCAAGACAAAATCTTGTCGGCCTGTGCCCTTCATTAGTGGTGAAGAAGGCTAATGTTTTTATTTTGTCTCGATATTTTTTTTTTAGATTTTCAATTTATTACATCTTAATCGAAAATTTGCGGTTGGAAAGGTGAGTAAAATCAAGAGCGGAAGCATCGAAGCAAAGGCGAGCAAATTATCGAAAAAAGGTTTCAATTTGACGGGTGGCTTGTCGGACAAAAGGGCGAATCAGGTGTCTTCGGCGTATGTGTCGGGGCTGTTTTGTCTCGTGATAAATTGTGCCTGCCCGCCTTGCTGCCTGCTCCTCGGCACTCTTATAGAGCTGCAGTGAAAGAGAAACAATCTCGATTTGTTGTCTTTTTACTCCCTTTTTTTAAGACCAAAAATACGTAGCCTCTTTTTCTTTTCTTTCTCAAGGTGGATTTAATCTCATCCTCCTTTGGAAAGGCGGTCTTTTACTTGAGAAGGGTGCTCTGTTTTGTTGGAATCGTCTGCGAGAGAAAGAGGATGTTGTTCTAGCGAAAGCAGAAGGCATTGTTTGCCGTGCAAAGAGAGGGAAATGAAATATATCTTTTATGATGAAGTTATATGTGCCGGGGCAGTGAGAGAGGAAGGGGTTTATTGATTCCTCGTTGCCGAAGTTCTACCGCTAACTACGCTTTTTATTAACCTACTTACTTCTTCGCCTTGTAACTTTCTAATAAATTTAGTTTTGTCACATCAGGGGGTGGGTGCGGACTGGTGACGCTTCCTATGGTCGTTTGCGAGCTTCGAGAAATTTGCTTTTGAACGATAATTTGTCACAATCAAACTAACAAACGAGACGTTTGCTTCAAAGAAAAACTTCTTTTGTAGTGGGTGAACTTTACTCTCATTGCTGTAATTGTCTTTGAAGGAAGTTAATAACAAATCAAAGAGATAATTGGTTCCATTGTTTGTTCAAAATATTTGTACATTCAATGAACATTATTATTAATTTCAATGAAAACTTTTTTTAATTTCAAGGGAAAATAAATATTTTCAATCTATTACTTTTTTTTCAATAACGGTAAACAAGACAACAAATCAATTTAAAAAATACCTGGCAGCCACAAACATGATATACTGCTATACGTATTATTATTTTTTTGTTTACCGAAATATCATTTTTTTTTTTTCATACATCGCCTGCAGGGAAAAGCACTTAGCTTAAAAGTCGTGTTTTCGCCGGATGCTCTCAAATCCAGCCATGGTCTTTTATCAAACATATCAACTCTGGGGGAGGCTGGAAAGGCATTTATCATGGAAAATTGATTGATTTACTGCGTGCATCTCATCTGCTCATATCGGCAAGCTCTTCTGAACATCAATATCAGTGTGAGTTTGCAAACATATACGAACATACATGCGTTCATTTTACATTACGCGCTCAGCAGGACAAACCAAATAATAATTACGCGAAGCATCTCTCGTGCCATGAGCTGAAATAATAATAATAATTTCCCATATGCTGTGCTTCTGCAAGATTAATCAAATTTGTTTTGCAGCAAGAGAGAGACAGAGAGAGAAGGATTGCTAAGTGTAATTAAAGCAGCGCGCGAATTTTACTCTCATCCCAAACGCTAGCTATCTCGTAAATTAGAGATAATTTCATTCCGCGCGTCTCGACTGCAGAGATATCGCGCATAAGAGATGAGATAGTTTTATCTGTCGGAATGAGTTTCCTGCGCTCCGCCAGTTTTAATCTACTTTTGAGACACGCGGCTGTAATTGAGCCGCAGGATGTACATCTTCATTCAATAACACGTTACTTGGCTGCTTGTTAGTGAAGCAAGCTAGTTTTTCTCCGGCCGGGGTTTCTTCCCGCTACGATAAATGAATAAAACAACTGCAAGTCCTGATTCAACTCTCCCTGCAGTTGAAGTTTTCTCTTTTTCAGCTGCCATCCCCGGGAGTTTTACAAAGTACTTCTGGCAGTTTAAAACTGTTCAAAACTTTAGAATTTTCACGCGGCACTGTTTCTTTAGCATTTAGCAGTTTTCTGCTGCGCATAGTTAAAGATAATATTTTCACAGATTAAAATGTTAGTCAATGGAGAACAGCTTTTGTCTTGAATAAATGAAATGATCGAATTCTTACACAGGACTGTGTAAAAAGAGAAACATGAAATTGCAAGAAAATCAAATCTTTTTTTTAATATTTATACCTAAAATTTATCGATGTAAACATGCATAGATGCATATAAAAATCGTTACTATCTAAATTTATTTCTATACAATGCTGTCGTGAAAACTGAACATTTTGGCAGTACCTTATTAATTTTTAATAAAACTTTTTAATCTACTCAATAATTTAATTCGCAAAATGTAAAACTTCAAAAAGTATGATTTTAAAAAATATAGTATAAATACATATAAATTACAATAAAAAAAAAAATACATTATCAAAAACGTTGGAAAAATTTTCATTTTTATGATAATGCAATAACAATAAATTTTTAAATTATGAAAAAACTAATTAACAATATAGTATTTATTGAAGTTCATTAACGTTATTGTGATTTCAAAATAAATATAATCACAGGTAAAATTGTTGCGCCTTTTCTATGCATTACGGACAGAAACTAGCTGCGGAAAGATCAAATTTGGCCCTAGACCATATTTTCAGTGGTCATAAATCATTGGTCGTTTTCTGAGAGTAATTTTACATACAAACACACCCTAAGTAATGTACACGATTACCAATTCAGCCGGGATAAACAATGGCGGCGTCAACCCTCGACCCGCGTATCTCACAAATCCCGGCCCGAGAGGATTTTGCAATGCAAAATCGGCTGGAGCGTGTGTCGGAAAAATGTCCTACCTTGGGGTGGTCCCTGACGGGGACGACGACTCGCACGGTCACTTTGATCGGTTTGTCCCTGGTGATGTCGATCATCCGCCGCTCCTCTCTGGAGCGCGGGAAGTGCGTCGAGAAGTGAACTCCGGAGCCGTTGACCGGCTTGTCGGCCTCCTCCGAGTCTGCAAAAAGACCAAAGCGGGTGTTCAGTGGATGGGTCCAGAGGCTAATGAATAATGCATGCGCCATTTCCTGTCCGGGCCAGCTCAGCCCGAAATGTATATACGCGGGTGGAAATTTCATTGTTCATGTGGAGAAAAGTGCGGTACTTGCATCAGACAGGCCGCATCAAAAATTTAACTCTGCTCGTTTAACCCTACGTATCGCATTACACACCGAGGTAATAAGGCTGAGCTTGTAAATTACTCGGCCGACAGCTCCCCTTGGCACTGCTGCAGTCGTGTAATGTATATTCTGGCACGGTGAAGCAAGGAAGTAGTTTTTCACGAGTGCCAAGCTAGTATCGCTGCGAATTGCACACGTTTAATTCTAGGTATGAGTGCATTTCTCTCTCTCTCAACGCTGCGGTTTTACTCGCGAATGGAAATTGCGGTTGGGAAAAAATAGATGCTTTCCGAATTGGAATTTGTTTTGACAACTCGCTGGGGAAATACAGTTGTGATATATACACGTTATGCATGGGAAATTTAAATTGTCGCCATGAATTTTTTATTATTGAGAAAATAAGGTTAGTAAAATTGAGCCACAGCGAACGTAGTACTTTGCAGGGGAATTTCATCAGCCCTTTGTGTAAAAAATGAAAATGATGAAAGCTTCTTATGAACAAATTTTTTGTTTTTATGCAAAGGAAGCGTTTTCCCGTGATTTGAAGTTTTGTGTTTAGAAAAATTCAAATAGCACAAATAATATAAGAAATAATGCAATTATAAATTTTTAAAATAATATTCTGCAATATTCCGTGCATGTGATATCTTTATTCTGAATAATAATTAATTAATTATTTTAGATCAAAATTTTTAATTACATTATAGTTTCAATTTTTTTTTTTTTACAATAAAGCTGAAACTCTAATAGAACTTCAAAATGTTATTTTGTTTGTTATTTAATCTTTAATATTGTATTGTATTATACGCAATGAAATCAATATGGTATTACATGGTATTTAATGTGAATAATGAACAGGGAATCAACATAATTATACATAAATATGAGAAGGAATTATCAAAATCAGTACCAAAGAAATGACACTATATTTTAATAATTGCCAATTTTTAATAGTTGGATTCATCTCCAAGCCTTATATTGTTGATAGCAAAAGACATTTTAATGAAATAATTATTGATAGGAGGAAGAAATAAATTTTTATGAATTTATACAAAATTCCTGTTTGAAAAAATTCTTAACTCCAAAAAACAAAATTTCCATTGTCTTTTTTTTAAATTTAAACTTTATGCTTCAAGAGAATAGTGTACGTATTTTTATTTTATTTAAAAACACCAGAATTGGCGGCCATTTCAATAAGACATCTCAAGGAATTGCAGCTGGGTGGAATAAAATTTTCATCACAAAACGTCCCTCAGCTGCGACTCGCTCAATTTGAGGCTCCCCTAAACGAGCCGGTCGTAAAATCAAGTCCCCGGCCGGCATCTTCACCAAACAAATCAAACGCGTACCTATCGCTTAAAGGGGAAATAGCAGAAAATCACCCCCAGCAGACCCAATAAAATCGAGCCAAAACTGCTTTCGCAGCCAATTTTTTGCATGAGATCATCTGCCACATCGGGGTGCAGGGCGTGTCGGCGGCTGCGTTTTTTTATGCTCGAATACATTATAATTGAAAAAAAAATAGCATTTGATGCAGTGAGCTGAGAAAGACCACCTAAATAATAAATCTTGGCCAACGTGACGTTTATGGCACAATGATTGGCTTCATCAAAAAAGCATTTCGCCCGCAGCACTTTATCATGGCTCCTTTTCGGCAAACAACCCTTTTGTTTTCATGTCCCTATATTAGTCTGCGAATAATAACAATAATTAATTCACGTCCGACCGGAGCTCAGGTGATACCAGAGGGGACACCAGCATATAAATTCAACAGATACGGGTCGTAAAAATTTAATTGCCCTCTATATTGTTTTCCGACGTAATTGTTTTGTTATCTTGAATATTTACTATTATTGGTCCAGGCAGTGCGTGTTCTGCCTCCGAACATCCCCACTATACTCTCTGGAGAATCTTTTTCAGCGGAACAATGCCACCCAGAGATGTATTTCCAGCCCTTCTCTTTGGCCGACTCTGAGAGAGCAACGCGATCCTCTTACTGAGAATTCGCTGCGAATCGCAATTGAGACGTGCTTCACTGGAGAGTTGACTGAAAAAATTACAAGCTTAAACGTACACAAGATCTTTTCACGGAAGCAGCGGCACTCGAGAGAGTGAATTATTTATAGCAAACGCGGAGAACATGCGATGGAGAGCGAAACACTCACGGAAGAATTTTTCATTTAATTTTGTATCGAGTGCATTCGAGGATGGAGAAAATGTCCAAGAGAGGTTTGCTCTGATTTCCTCTGAAAGCAGAAGCTTTTGTACAAAGGACGAATCTTTTGACTTGAGTGTTTACATTTTGATCTTGCAAATTCCATTTCTAGAATTAACCATGTTAATATGGAACTTACATAGTCATGGATTGAAAGCCGCTTCAAAGCAACCATTCAACTTATCGCTTGTTGACATGCTTCCTTTTATTTGCTTTGTAATATGTTTCTATTGCTTCAAAATCATATAATGTAATATACGTTTCAAATGTTTGATTGATATCAATAACTGATGACGTTCTCAATCAAAATTAATAAGTGAATTATATTAATATTTTCACTTTACTTTTTTCAGTATGAGCGCTCAATTCACCATTAAACAGTTAAAAATTAAATTGGTTTACCTGCATTTTAAGCATAAATCAAACAAAATTTGTCATAACAAAAAGAGATTTCTACCAATCAATAGGCAATGTAATTTTTTTTTATATATAAATATTAGCCATTAAGAAATCAAAAAGAGAAAATTATTTGGAAGTTAGATTAGATGGAAGGCGAAAATTCAATTCCTTGCAATTAGTAAGGAATTTAATTTTCTTAACCAGTGTCAATCAACTCTTGTAACAAGAATGAAAACACCCACTAGAGCATAATCTAAGGCGCCGAATCACATTATCTCTCGCTGATGAAATTCCGCAATTTCGCGTTTAAGCCCTAACACGTGCATCATAGCAAGCAAACAACACAAAGTTTCGCAAAGTTTTAGTTAGTTTGTAATGTATAAATAAGTCGTCTTATCTCATGAAATATTTGCATTTGGTAATTGAATTCTCCAACACGGTTGCACAAGTTTCGCCAGTGCACACATCAAAGAGGGAGGTTTTGCAGGCTCCGAGTACGTACTTTATAGGTACTCAGCCAGCAAGTCGAGTTGCATCACAAGACCTTCAAAGTGTCTATACCAGTGTCTACACAAGGTGGTTGGCAAAGCTAGTTCGCTTTTCTTTCCCTCCGGGTGGCAACACCTATGTTATTTGTCGTGGATTTGCGTATTCTAGTCAATCGTGCCATATTTTATCTATTTGTTTCTTTCACAAGTTCAGAAAAATCATATGTGTGATATAAACTGCAATTTAATATTGAAAATAACATTAATGCATTAAATTTTCTAGCATTATTATTGTAACTATTTGAAATCAAAATTTATTTTTAACCATGCCTCATATTATTAAATATCTAAAAAGATCGATTATAAATATCTATATCCAATATCTACCGTCACTTGACTTTGAAACTACAAAACCCGTGATTATTTTTCTCCTAGGATGCAAAAATAAATCAATTAACAGAGCACCTGCCGTTCCAAGCAGGATGTTATAAATTTTCATCGCTTGAGTTTCTCCACTTCCAAAGACATGACTCGCGGCGTTTTATACGCCATGTCATGTAACGTATGGAGCAGTAATGAATTCAAGTTGTCTCCGTCAACGTGCATAATTATCCCCCGTCGTACACTCCAGGTGACACATGCGATATCGCGCCTCTCCCTCACCGCTCTGCGATACATAATTCATATTTAATATAGCCACACACACTAGAGGGCACATTCTTCGACGAGAGCAAGTCATTAAAAGTCGCAACTTTATGCATAATAATGTTCAGACCAATTTCCTGAGAGATAAAATATGAAATTTCATCAGATATAAACTGCAAACCTTTGATGTTGTTTATTTATTTATTACAAAAGTTGCAGCGTTTGTGCACTCATAAAAATATATAATCTTTTTACAGTGATTTTTATCATGGGAGAAATAAAAGAAATTAAAAATTTTTGCGATCAATTCAGGTGAAGCAAAGGTGAGAAGTATTTATGTTGACAATGTTGTACTGAATTCGAAATTACTGAATATTTCAGTTCTTGGAAACTACAAACTACAGCATAAAATTGCAAAGTGGAAAACCCTCGAACTCTTGTCTTTTTCCTTGCCAAAATCGACTTTCTCTTTTATATATCTGAAGCTCTTTTTTGCTCGAGGTAAAGTTGCCTCTCGAACTTATATTGCCGAGGAACTCGAGTCTCGTGAGCTTTTGATTTAGCCGAACAGGCACCGCTCGAGAGGGTCATCGAAAAGGACGCAACGCCCACGAGATTGTTCCTCGATCCAATTCAATATCACATATGGTGCGTGTGTAGCTCTTCAGCAGCTTGTCTGCGTCAATCAGATGCTATACGGAGAGAAGAGATATGTCTAAATTCGCCTTTGGTGAAAAGTGACGTGGCTGACGTTCGCATATGTAACTCTATTTTGCAAATGAGCAAGAATATGAAGCTCGAGTGCTCCACTCTCTGCGACTGGAGTGCCTCTGACTGAATATCGAAACTCACGCTTTCCAACGCATTTAGTGTGGCAGCAAATCAACTATTCCTAGACATGCTGGTGACAGGCAAGCAATTTGAAATCAAATCTGAAGTTGTTAGGTATAAGAAATATATAATGGGCATTTTTCTATTTTAGTATCTCCTGACTTTTAGTGGAATATTATGCAAACATAATTTATTGTCTTTGTAGTTTTATAGACATTATCACACAACATAAACATTTTCCCAAAAACGATTAATACAA